TAGGATTCTTCTACAGTAGGTGTCTGTGACTTGTTAGCAATAAGTTCAACAATGAATAAACAGCACACACTTCACTTGTTTTCAAAATAATATATATATTCAGAACAAATTAACGTATGTACAATAAATTCTTCAACACGTATTATATTATAAATACTATATATGTAGCTTAGGCCTATTCAGTTACTTCAGAAATTCAGATGACAAGCTAAGCTATCTTCTGTATTTCTATCGCACTAGTATTCTCTGTGATTCTCTTACAATTGTGGTGCGAGTTACCATAATCGTTTGGTCTTCTTTCTTCCGAAGATCCTCTGTTCCTTTTGTCAAATATCCGCTTTGGCCTATTCAATTACTTTAGAATTTCAGTTGACAAGCTGAACTATTTTCTCTATTTTTATCGCACTATTATTCTCTGTGATTCATTACAATTGTGGCACAAGTTACTGTAATCGTTTAGTCTTATTTCTTCTGAAGATCCTCTGTTACTTTTTTAAAGTACACTCAGTCTGATTCAATTACTTTAGAACCACACTTTGACAGAATAAAATTATTTTTCTTATCTTGTTTTCTACTGTTAGTTTTAGTCTAACTTATTAAACATTATGTCTATGTCAGGCATTAGTCCTATCACTTCTACAGTACTTAACTTCTTGCCAACTTTATTCTCTTTCACTATTATCTGTCTGCTATTCTCGCTCGTCTCATGCTATTTTTCTCTTTATCACTTAATCATCTGTCTGCCTTCTATATTCTCGAAATTGTGAAGTTTGATATTCTAAACATCACTGAATTATTAACAAAACCTCTTACAATTGTCTGCTTTTAACTCTTATTATAATAAAATTAAACAATAATATAACATTTGCTCACAAACCAAACAGTCTTTTATATCATGATAATGATCTATGTACAAAAGTTTTACAAACTTCCAAACAATATTGAGTCCTCTACCTAATCTGGAACTTCCTTGATATCTTGTCGAGGGTTCACCTTGAATGAATTAATTTTGAGTTAATGTTGATACAATTCACTTAAAAGGGAGCTATCTAGCTCTGTTCTTTGTTCTTTGCCGGCCAAACATGCCAAGTTATCCACTGATGAAGTTATATAATATTTTCGTAAAAATACTAATGTCGATGTGAATTTGCTGAATTTGAATGTTTGTAATATTCAAAATCTATATATATAGCAAACCAATATATATATTGTCTTTTGGCACATCATTTTGGTAATATTTATAGGCAATTTAAGAGAGTAGGCAGAAATTTTGCAATACAGATTTAACAGTATAAGTTATGTGCATTTCTAAATATAAATTTAACTTAAAGAAATGTCAATATTTTATTTTCTAAATTGCATGTTTAAAATAAATAAAAAAGTAAGTAAAGTACTAACAACACCTCTACAAAAAAGTATGGTTAACTCATTGAGACATCAAGAGAAAAAAGTATAAGACTCATACTAATTACTAAATTTCTTGTTTTTTATGCTTATATCTTTTATTTATTGTTTTCAAATCAACTAAAATGTTAAAAAGAAGAAACTTGTGAGGTTAGATAAAAATAAATTGAATAAAAGAAAATACTTCCAAGTACAAGCATATTTCATTAGAGCAGCATTTTGTAATTTGACCAAAAATTCTGGGAATTCAATTTTTTGTTTACACAATGCTTCCACTCTGTGATATTTTGCTTTGGTAATAAATCTAAATGACTGGGAGATTTGAAACGTGTTAGCTCTAGCTGTAGGAATAAATAGTGTGTAACTCTCTAATAGTGCGCAGTCATTCTGGAAAGAATAAAAGGTAACTTATATTTTTTTTAATTATGTGATGGTTATTAAATCAGTCCAATAACCCGAGCCTGTATATAGAGTTAAGACAGAAAAAGTAAACAGATATAATCTAAAATTTTACTGAAAACTTTTGATATATCATTTAGAATATTCTAGAGGTTATGCATAAATTCATGTCTACTAGAAGTTTGCCAAGTTTCATTAAGATACACTTACCACATTAAAAATTATAGTATGCATAGTTTTGTTATTACATTATAGTTGAAAGGTTGGTCAAAGTGATAGAGGCAGCACATGGAGGGTTAAGTTGATTGAAGTATGTGCCCTGGTGAACAGAGTTTTAACCTGAATTCCCACCTAGTCTCAGCTATGATTTTTGAGAACAAAAAGTTATAAAGTGCATTTGAGTGTGTCTTTAAAAGTTAGGAACTTTTTAAAAATTGTCTTTTTAAAAACATTTACATGTACATTTTTGTTACAATGATGATGTAGAAATACTTTTTTAAGTCTCACATTATAACAAAAAGTTATAAAGTGCATTTGAGTGTGACTTTAAAAGTTAGGAACTTTTTAAAAATTGTCTTTTTAAAAACATTTACATGTACATTTTTGTTACAATGATGATGTAGAAATACTTTTTTAAGTCTCACATTCTACGTGGTCGGTCCTTAAAGATTTTGATGCTTTCAAGATCATGAAACTTACTATGAAGTAAATTAATTAATTAATTATAGTTTATTGTGCCAGAATTGAAGATTTATTATTTTTTCAGTACCATCTTAGGAAATTAATTGTTCATACCTTGAAACTGGAATTTATATAAGTAACTTAATGTTCATACTTAACAGTTATTATTTTAAAAACATATGATAATTAATTTAAGGAAACATTTTATTTTCATGTTACATGTTAATATGATAAATACACCTACAAATAATATTTTTAGCTAAGAAATGTGTAAATTTAATATTACATTACAGCATATTATAAAAAGTATGGTTTATAGAAACTGTTGCCTTATTATATTTATTAATTAGCTTTCATTGCTCAATAAATGTACTAATAGAGCCTTATAAGAGCATGCTTGTATTCTTTGATAAATTGTTTAGGCAGTGTATTCATGATGAAACTTTGTAGAATGGACGGCAACTGTCTGTTGTAGAGACACAAGTGAAGAGGATGACGTTTTTGAAGGCGAAAAGCGTAAGACTTTGAGAAACGTTATCCTCTACACTTGTGTCTCCACAACAGGCAGTTGCTGTCCATTCTAAAAAGTTTTAGCATGTTTTTATTTTTTTCGAAAACCCCAGTTACATGTAAGGAAGGTACACATTGCTTAAATCAAACAGAGAAACTGAAGGAACTAGAGATAGATTTACATGTCAAAATTGTTACTTTTACTATAGTAGGTACAGTAATAAATACGAAACTCTACATTTATTAATTGCTATATACTCTTCTTGCCAAATAATGTTGAACTGAATATTTTTATAATTAAAATATTCAATATATTTAGGTTCGTGAAGCAGCTCAAGCTCTCCTTTTAGCTGAACTTCGCAGAATTGGATCTAAAGGCAGAAAAATGGTAGTAGATGAATGGGCTTCATTCCTACCTAACTATGAAGAACCTTATTCAAGTCACTCTTCTCAAAATATTTCTTCAAACCAATCTAGTCCTGGAATATCTAACTTTAAAATCCAAAATGAAAACTCTAGTACATCATCTGTATCTAAGATAGAAACTCAGCAACAGACTAGAAATGAAGAACAGTCTTCAGAGGAAGATGATGATGAAGATGATCAAGGTTTGGATAGTAAGTACTATGTAAATCCAGTTGTAAAAATTTATATTATTAGCAACAAATTCATGTGGTTCAAATCATAATCATTATGAACAAGACAACCACAAAAGTGATGAATGACAACATATTCTTGAATGTTTTAGAATATATTTATTCCATTTTTGGCAAATTCCTTTAGTAAATGCAAAACAATAATTACAGATAACAATGCAACAATTGAATCGAAATGTTTGTACAACCATAAACATTCATAATGAGAATGTTAAGAACCAGAAAGGAAAAACTAAAAAGTAATGAGTGTAAAACCAGTAACTGAACTTGACTCTAAGCCCAGAATAAATATATCAGCACTTGTACCTGGTTATTGAAAATAAAATTAATCAGGCTTAAACCAGCAGAAATTGCTTTTTATTTAAGCTAGGGAGATGTTTTTAGTAAAGCTGAAACTTTGAAAACCATTGAATTGCATATCCAGTAGTTTGAATGTGTATGTAGATAGCAGGGATATAAAGGATATGATAAAAAGTGATAAATTCTCTAGGACATATCCATGTGTTAGTGGATGCGTACAGGCACATGGCATTTGATTTTTCTCAGTGACATTGAGATCATTCTTGGACTAAATAGGGTCAGTGAGTGATCCTTGAAATGGAAAAAAAAATTTTATTTGATGTAATGGCTTAACCCTATTTACACGGGTCAAAGGCCATGTCATCGCATTTGCTGACTCACATTCAAAATTTTATTCAACTACTATTTTATGAATTTATATCAGTAAGTTTGGTATCAAATTGTACATTATAATTTAAATTTGAGTATTATATATGATTTAATTTGTTAATTTAAAAGTAAATATTAAAAAACACCTAAATATCTATTTTTGTTTGTCATGTGGTAAGTTGAATGCAGCATTGATTCAAATTAGATGTTTGTGAATAGTCAACATTCAAAAAATAAAAAGATATGAGAAAAACATTACTTAAAAAATCCTAAAACTTAATAACAAAACCTTATATTTTGCATATGAAAGCCTTGTAATGTTTACTGATAATCTTTAAAATTTCATGAAGATACATTAATTTAAAAGTTATAGTATTAAAACATAAAATGGTTACGAAAGAGTTAACTCTTTCTGGTCTTGTTTGTATTCAAGTCACTCCAACTGCACACACATAACACAATTCTCAAAATTGTATCAAGAATATAATTATATTTCAACAACATTTTGCACAAAAATATTTTAGAATTGATGTGTTAAAATTTTCTTTTGTGTCTTAACTTTAGGTCTCTCAACTGTGTACATTGCACTTCTAAATGCTTTTTTTACCTTTTTTTTGCTCTCTCCTAAGCTTATATTTATTTCTACTAATTTTTGGTCAGCTGAACATTTATGTTTTATGCCTTCCGTTTATCCAACTGTGAACGTATTAGTTGAACTCTCATTTACTTTCATATCCATGAAGGCTTTGTGAACTTTTAATTGTTCTCAGTTGTAAACATAATACAGCTAAAACTATTAACTATCAGAGGGTATTTTTAAGCTTTAACACTTTTTTTATTAAGAATAAAGTAGTACCTGGAGATTTTCTTATAATTTTTAATGATGTTGTTTTCATTTCTGATATCTTTTTTTGTAAATCAGATTGAAAAGTAGGGAATATTTGTCTATGACAAAACATAAAGTAAGGATATTTAGGTTCAGTAAGTGTGATAAAATTAAGACTATCATTACAAACTATATGGATGAGAAAAAACTTCTTTTTTTTATTGAACATATTGTTAAATTTATTGCATTAAAACAATATGCTCAAATAAAATAAATTCTTATTAACCAAAACAAATTGAAGACTAAAAATTATGGTTTGTCTGAGCAATAATGATTTATAGAGAACAATTTACATTTAATTTCTTACTTTTTTGAGGGGTGGTGGATAAAATAGGGAAGATGACATGCTAAGAGAAAATGTGTCAAGTGGGTCACACTAGTGGAAATTCTGGATTTTTTTAAATATTGCCTTGTAGGATTAAGAACTTCAAACTTTTATACTATTAAAATATGGATTATTAGCTAACATTTTATGTTATTCTAATTGGTATAGATAAATAAATAAAAAATAGTTTAATAAAATTTTGAATGTAAGACACTAAAACCTCGTGTCATGTGCAGTAAAGGATATCCGAGGTGATAGGGTTAAAGAGCTATTGAATAGAAATTCAGACCCCTCCTGCTACACCCACCTGTCACATACTCTCTTTCATAATTCATTGATAGTTCTCTCTTACGTTTCATTATATATTACCCATAACCAATAGAAAGTCAAAGATTTCAAATATCAAATGATGTATTGTATAACGTCTTCTGAACAGATAATCGTCAATTTTTTTCAGAGTGCAAATATTTTCCTATGGGAAAGTTAACGACTAGCTTGAATGAATTTGTAACGGCTCTTGTTGCATAGTTAGAAAGCCAGAAAAATTTTGAGAGGTAAGGAAATTTGCCTACTTTTTGCATGTTATTAGTCTATATTCTTTGGTGCATTATTTAGTTAAATAAAAATTATTAAGTGCATTACTATTAGTACTATGAAAAATCAGGCTTAACTATCATCAACAATCAAAAGCAAAAATAAAGAAGATTGGGTAAGTACTTTATTTCTTGTTTTTCTTACTTATTCTTTATTTATTATTATAGAAGTAACTAAAATCTGAAAATACGGATCTTTTTAAGTTATTTAAGATTAGATTACGTAAAATAATAATAATACAATTAAAATGGTTCACGAGGCATGCACACATGCGAGCAGCTTGTAGTAGTTCGTGGGTGATGTAATTCGATAGCGTAACGTGTTCTGCACGTTCTCTAAGTGATTTACAACTTTTTATGGCACAGACAGTAGTTAGGCATGGTTCAAAGGGCAATAAAACAATAAAATATATTTATAAATAGATGTATAATTTTATGATAACTTTGGTTTATTTTGATTTCTTTGTTCGGTACAAGGTCGGCTGAATTTACTGATCCCGTATTGAGATAGGGTAGAGAAAATAATAGATAAACTATAAAGTTTTACAGAAAAAAACGTTTGAAATGCATCTTGGAGGTTTTAGGGATTACACAAAGGAAATTTGAGATTTTTGAGATAAAGAAAAGTATTTTTTTATTTTAACATGAAAATATACTTTGAACACAGATTATTCAAAACAAATACTCAATATATTCGTGGACAAATCTTTATTTTATTTGATTAAAAATACTTCACTAAAAAATATGTTGTATCCTGAACTATAAATAGTTCTTTTTTTTTAACCTGTGCTCACAAGCCACTTATATAAATACCTTATTCATTGAGGCCTCGAAAAATAACGAAGATTCAAGTAATGTGACATCAACAATATTAGTTAAATCTCAACAACAATCAATTGCAAATGCAATGTATGACTCTTACCAAGTAACCAAACTTGTCATAACTATCGTCTTTAAAATAATTACTTTAACTCTCTTGTTATGAAAAAGTAAACAACCTTTAAATATTAACTCACAAAATATATTGAGTAATAGCGCTTATATAAACAGTCATATATATCCACCATTATCTATCACACGTTGTGACAATAATCTTTAATAGTTTTATCACATTAAATGTAATAACAATTATATGTAATGAAGAATTAGTTTATTTAGTTTTAGTAAAATTTACTGAAAATTTATAAGGAGAAACACATGGAACTGTATTAGTCATACTTTCAGCTTAATTCAAAAATGTAGAATAGTTTAGGATTAAACAAGTAATTTAATCATGAATTGTTTTACATAAATATGTCTGTCGTATTAAAGAAAGAGTAGTTCAAAAATACCTTTAAGAACCCAAAATAAGCTTAAAATAAGAAGAGTAGTTTCCTGTGAAAATAATTGATTAGGAAGTTCCACAAATTGCTTGGCTCTAAACATGGCTTTCCTTGTTCATTTGTTTCTCTTCAGCTTGGATTCATATTTTGAAGAATGCCTACTTCACAATCAGAGGAGTAGCAGTTTTGGAAGTTTATGTGCTATAAGTTTGGCTTAAGTGTTTGCTTTGACCTTTTCAAAGTGTTTAAAAAGATTTTCTGGAAATGATTTGAAGGTCAATGGTGATGATGCACAATGACAACAAAATACTAAATGTTTACATAAACAACAGAGCCTTTCTTACACGAAGCCTTTTCTTTTTGTTTGACATTGCTTAATTATACCATACAAGGAATGGATAGTACAAAAGTTGTGTGATTCTCTCTAATGAGGTGATTCAGGTTTTTTATCTTTTCAGGCAAGGATTTTATCATTTGTACAGAATAAAAGTTTTGTTTTTTTGTCACAACATTTCATCAAATTTAGCTAGCATCATCAGGTGACATGCAAGAACTGAGGCTAACAGAAATTAATTTAAGATAAAATAATCATGAGTATCTGTAACAGTAATAATGTACAAGACGTGATTCAAATGAGGATTTTATCAGCTCTACAGAATAAAATTTTTATTTTATTTTGTCACATTTCACTAGGTTTAGCTGGCATCATCAGATGAGATTCAAGAACTGAGGCAAACAGAAATTAATTTAAAGAAGATATTCACATAAGTATCTATAATAAGAATAATGTAAAAGGCATATTATTCAAAAGTTGCATAATTAAGAAAGCATTTATCAATAAACTGTCAAATATACCGATATGAAAATAAAGCTTTAATGCTTGAGCATAAGTATGAAAATTTGTTTTATATACAAGAGATAGAGAGAGAGAACAATTAAAATAAATATAAATGAACACCTTTGTATTTTTTTTAAGAAAATATATGTTTTATATTATCATTAACAACTGGGCTTCTTTTATTTTTTGTATATTAATGTTTTATTATTTTCTGAGGATTTTTATCTTGGAAGAGTCAAAAGAATGATTGTTTCTAGACATGCGTTTATAAACATGAGATAGATTTTAAATGTTCCCACAAGCAAGTAGAAAACTGTCTGTTTATCTC